GAAACCATTGCTGGTAAGAGACTGTCATGATCCACACCACTTATCACAAAGTTCTACACAGCTCAAAATGAACTAACTAGAGTCTTAGTCATGTGTTTTGAGTAACTCAAGAACATCTTTTAAATTTCCCTGAGTTAAAAAAACAATGGGGGCATGGCCTTAAAAGAGAAAAACTTGTTTAAAGTTTAAATTCTCTTGGTAATTAAAGCAGTTAAGCTTTATCGGAAACTATTTAAGTTTTGAGACTTTAAAAAGCTAGTAGAACTAATTTGAAGAGAAAACTTTCTATTTTCATGTTTAAAGTGTTTAAAATTTCTCATCTCCTTTTTTATTAGTTGGAGGCAAAAGTTACCTCTAAAATTTTATAGAAAGTATACCTTTACTCAGTATTTCATTCAAAACTCTTCAAAATAAGTCGCATGGATGTAATGATTAATAAAAATGTCCTAAAACTAAAACCAAACCCACTGCCATCGAGTTGATTCTCACCATTCTGGTCACCTAGTGCCACTGTGACAGGAATATACCATAAATGGAATGGCTTGAACAAACAGGAGTTTATTCTCTTACCATTTTGGAGGCTTTAAGTCCGAGTTCAAAGTGCCAGGCTCTAGGGGCTGGGTGAAAGCCCCTCAGCCTTGGGCTTCAGCTCTGCCTCCTGCTCCCAGCTCACTGAAGCTGGAGGCTTTTCTTCACTCAGACAGCTGCTGGCTGCTGAGGCTGACAAGCCCAAGGTTGACAAGTAAAAAGGCACAGACCCAACGTTACCAAACAACATGGCAGGCCACTAATTCAAGTCCAGATGAAGTCTCAAGATCAGCAGGGCATGGCAGGCTGTTGAACAACAACTTGGCTACTTGCAGGGTTCAGCACGCCAAAAGGCTAGAGACCAATCCCAAAGCTTCTCCTTATGTATGGAAAGAAGATCACATCCCTAAAGCAGCTACTCAGCTGCTTGTGGCAGATTCCAGCATGGCAATCAAGTTGTTGAAAGACCCAAGGTTAACAGAGCATGGCAAGCTGCTGAATAATGAAACAGCTACGTGCAGGGTCCAAGCATGCCATAAGCTAGAGACCATTCGCAAAGCTGTTTCTTATATACTGAAAGCAGACCACATACCCAAAGCAGTCACTCAGCTGCTTGTGGTATATCCTATCATGGAGTTGATTGCCAATCTCATCATGGGGAATAACTACCTCCAGCCGCCCAGCCACTCTACTAGGCTCAGCTAAGTTGACAACAACCTTAACTACCACACTGACCCACAGCAACCCCCATGGTGTTTCCAAGACTGTAAATCTTAGTAGATTGCCTCATCTTCCTCCTGCAGAGCAGCTGGTAGATTTGAACCACCAATCTTCTGGTTAACAGCCAAATGCCTTACCACGACACCAGAGCTCCCTAAAAGTGTCCAAGGTATTCTTTATTTGGGCCCATCTAATTATATTACCACAAAAAAAAGGTGCATGATACAAGATTGAGTCCTCAATCTACCAGGTCCACGTACAACATGTAAACATCTGAAAATCACTGGCAATATCGAAGAGATATTTCCCAAATTATCAAATGATGAAGCATATGCAAATGATAACTTTCATTTTTTAAGAATTGTCAACAGTAGGCTAGTTTTCAAGTTGGTCCAAAGAATAATATCCTCAGCCTCCGTGCCATGCTGTCTAACAAACTGGGTTCAGAAAATGAGTAAATTAGGCCAGACTACTAAAATGCTTTAACAAAGCAGAAAACTGTTTGTAAGGTAAAACTGGGCTTTCTCAAAGGTCTTGTTGTGAAGTTTTGATGTAGAAAATTCTTGTTGTTGTGTGACATCAAGTCAATTCCGACTCACAGCAGCCCTACAGGACAGAGCAGAGCTGCCCTGTATGGTGTCCAAGGCTGTAATCTTTATCAAAGCAGACTGCCACATCTCTCTCCCGTGGAGTTTGCTGGTGGGTTCAAAACCTGACCTTTCTGTTAGCAGCTGAATACATAACCACTGCACTACCAGGGTTTCTAAAACATTCTTACGAAATATAAGCATGTGAAGGATAATCCATTCCAAGCTTTTTGCCTAGTTCATGTATCCGTACCTTCCCTTTTTAACTGTCATGGAGATGGGCACAATGAGACAATCATCACCTCTGGTCACTCTTTGAAGGTGCCACACAATGTACTCAATTTTTAAACAAAAAGTACTTTGAGATGCGACGCTTCAGGAAAGATCTTCTGAAAATATGAAGCTACTGAAAATAAGATGTTTCCTCAGAAGTTAATCAAAATTTTAAATAGCTTGAGAAATCTAAACAGGTGACTCAGTTGGGGATTTTTCCTTTATTTGTTTCATAAACTGATGTTGAATAACATACTAGTTACTATTTGTGGAATAGTACTTACTGGGCCTGGGAAATCTTATTGATTCATAGAAAATCCAATGTTCTTTAACAATGATCATGATTAGTCCTGGATCAGAATTACTATCTATTAATATGTAAAACATTACTCTTAAATGAAGTATTATTTTCAAAAATAAAATCAAGTTAATAACTTTTTCTTTACAGCTCAGTCTTGCTATTAACATCTATTTTTGTTTCTATATACCACAAAAGTATTCTTAAAAAAAAAAAAAAAACTGGCATCATCATCCCAAACTTTAACCTTTTGTGTTTAATTCAGGTTCTCCCTCATGAGTTTGAAAAAGCAATTAGTTTAACTGTTGTTTTGGGACTATGTAATTGAAATGATGGTTTCTCTTAGACATATTGTCCTAAGCCTTATATATTCATGGAGAAAGAAACAGGGAGAAAAATGGAGACATGAACCAACATTTAGAAAGACCAAGAAAGACACCTTTAAGTTACTCCGACGTGCCTAAAGAAACACCTAAGTAAGTAAGCATCAGACCCCATATATATCATCTCAATTCTCATTGCAACTTCATGATGTAAGCATTGTACATATTATCATGTCTGGTTTCAACTGTTGAAACAGGCTTAGAGAGTTAAACACACACCAATTGCTAAGTGGTAATATGAGGATTTGAACACACAACATTCTGGCTTCAAAGTCTTTGTTTCTTTCTACCATGTGGCTTCTGCAATCTCCTTTCTTCGAATTTTCTGCTTGTCTGTCTCAGAGATCATTTTGATATTTTAAAGTGGACACAAAACAAAAGGCTGTATGTACCCCTTGCTTTTGGTGCTGCCCAGCTTATCTTTATATATTAATGATTAACTTCTCTGACAACAGCCAGCCCCTCAGTCCTGACACTTCCCCATTTTTTCACTGCTGCTATAAGCTGATAGTAGACTGAGCTGAATCACAGAAGAAAAAACTTTTTACTTTTTTATAAATTGCAAAGTTATACGCATTTACACTCAACCACTCCGAACTTAAATTTAAAACTGAAGTTGATCTAACACTCTTCCTCAAAAAACAAATACTGAAATAAAATGTAGTTTCCCCTGTCTACCATCCCAGTAGGCCATCAAAAAGGCATTGAAGAGAGATTCAGCTGCCCACATCTGTACACTGACTCACCGAAGACCTGAAGTCTGGTTGGGTATTTCTCACCAAAGTTTAGCATTTCCCAGGGGGCTTTAAAAGTGATCATAGCCCACATTATAACATCTTTCAGTATCCCCTAGGTTCAACATAAAAGTCCTGTAAGCAGACACCCCTTAGGTATTCCTTTAATTCTTCACTTCTCAGGAGTCAAGTGAAATTTCATCATTTAAAAATAAGTGTTTATGGCTTAAACTTCAGCTTGTGATTGTGAGCTTCTTAAAAAAATGCAAAATATCAATTAAGCATTGCAATAAGCTGGCCAACTGGGTTGAAAGATACAATATATGTACTGTCCCCAAATACTTTAAATATTTATGAACTTTTTGTTGAGATGTAGGGTGGTACCTTGGTACTGAATTGGAAATAAATCTGAATTGGAAGTAAATCTTGTCAGTAGCTACACTTTCAGAAACCATACCAAACACAGAGATGAATATCCAGCACCTTGAAATACCAGACAAAACATGAAACTTAATTTGCTGAAAAAAAAAATTAAAATTATTTTTATTTAACTACTACATTCATTGGCAGATTAAAGAGCACAAACGTTTATCAAGTTTAGTTAACACATTTGCCTTTTTATTGTTTAGAATATAGACTACATCTGGGATTAAAAAAGTTTTTAAATAAATTTAAGACATATAACAACAGTGGAACCCTTCATCATTCTACGTACAACCCGGATAGAATGTCAGTTAGTTCCATCTTAGATAAGTCCACTTTCTCATAATAATGCTATTATCACTGGCTGAGTGGCAAGCTTCATACAAGCCAGCACACTGCCAGCTTATACACACTAGGGTAGGAGTGGGGATGGACTGGAAGGGGTGGGGTAAACAGGATGGGGTAAGGTGCCACAGGACAACTGTACAGTGTAACAGAAAATCATTAATAAAAGTAGTACCGGTTACTGACAGACAGTGCTGTTTGTGCGCTTATCACAATGGAATCGCCGAAGTTTCAGAGCAAGAAGATTCGAAATACTTAAGACAGAACCACTGTTACAAAAAGAAATAGTGCAAACAGGAAAACTGATGCAATCCTACCAACGCCACGGCCTCCACCGGCCCAACAGCAAGGCGGCGGGAGGCTGTGCGCCACGCCTTCCCCAGCGCCCAGCTCCGGGCGGCGCTCCCAAGTGTGGCAATTCAGCGCCGCGCCCTGGCGTGGCCCCTTCTCAGCCCTTCTCCGGAAAGAACAGAAAAGAAACTCCAAGAAAGGCACAGACCGAATGTAGGGCGTCAGCCCAGTCCCTTCAGCGTAGAATGCAGGCCCCTCCTCCTGGGGAGACTTTCAGCCTTCCCTCTCCCGCCATCCCTTCCTCTCCCGGAAGAAGCCCACTCCTCAACGCAGCCCCGCCGCGTCCCCTGAAAGTCTGCAGTTCCCCAACCTTGCAGTCTGCCCTTCGCGTCCCCCAGCCAGCAAGAAAATCGCTTTAATGAAAGAGAGAGGGTGAGAGACAGGACCGAGGAGGGCCTGGGCAGCCGCGGGTGCCCCGCCTCAGTGGCCCCAGTTGCCAAAGCCAATCTCCTGCTTGTATCTATTGGTGAGGATGTTGGCTTTGCGTGTGAGTTTGGAGAGCACGGTGTGCAGCCCTCGCAGGTGGTAGTGGAACTGCCGCTCCAGGTCCTCCTCGCCCCCGTCCGCGCCCTCCAGGTGGCTCAGGTCTACCAGGATGTCCTTGGACTTCCAGGCGTTGCCCTCCTCGCTCCCCGCCGCTGCGGGCGGCTGGTGCAGGACCCCACACTCGATATCGTTGCGGATGGACTTGAGCAGCACATAGTGGCTGTACATGTCCCGTGAAGGCGCGAAGAAGCTGCCGTTGGCGCTGCCCGGGCCGGGGGCTGGAGGCGAGTGTTCCTCCAGGCAGCCGCTGTTGCCACCCACCTCTACCCCGACGTCGTTGTCCAACCCGGGCTCGGCCAGAGGCACGTCGCGCAGGAGGCTGGGCACCATTACCGTCTGATCCATGTTGTTCACGGCGCCGATGAAGCGGTTCATGGCGTTAAAGAGCGAGTGTTTCTGGTTGTAGGTGTCACAGATCTGCATCATGGTGGCCGCGAGGGCTCCGGAACGCAGGGGCCCAGGGCCGGCTGGCCGGGGCGAGGGGTAGCCCGCCTTCACACGCTCTCCAAGGCCGGCTCTGGGGGGCCTGGCTCTAGTTGGGGCGGCGGGAATCCGGGCTCCTCGTACGCCTGCTCCAACTCTAGTCTTGCTCAGTGCTCCGCCGTGGGGGATGTGTGGCTTCTCCCGGCTCAGGCGTCCGGAAGCTCGTGACGGCGGTGGGTGGTCGGTGGGTCGAGGTCTGGCCTGGTTAGAAGACAGGACGGAAAAGGAGGAGATTATTCACCTGGATAGGGTGTCTGGCGCCCCCGAACGAGCTCAGCGCCCTCCCCGGCTGCTGCCCTGCAGAGAAGGCGCCCGGGTGGCTTTCCGCTGCTGGGTGGTCCCACTTCCTCGCCCGCTAAGGACCGCAAAGAAGAGGAAGGGGTGCACCCCGTCTCCCTCCGAAAAGCCTGAGACCAAGCACTCACGCTGACTAGGGCAGCGATGGCGCGAGAGCACCTACCTCCTCTTGCACCCCACGATTCCCCGCTCAAAGCAGCTCAGCGTGCCCTCTGCCTGCGGCTGCTACCCACAGGCGCTACTGTGGTCAGTGCCCGGACAGTGACTGCGGGCAGTGGTGGTTGCGTTGGCCCCCTACCCATCCCAGGTGCTCAATTTATAGACTGGGCAAGGTGTCACCGGCGCTCAGGGCCACTCCTGGTGTCTCCTCCTCCCACCTCCCCCCCGCAGCGCCAAGATAAAAGGCCCAGGCCCGGCTGACCGCGAGTAACACTCGCTTGGCCCTTTCTACCGCGGGGGCGGGGCAAGCCAAGCCAGCTCCGCCTCTCGCCTGATACCCAGGCGGAGGGAGGGCGCCGGGGCAGGGCAGGAAGGCCGAGGCTAGCCGCGCCCGCCCCGCCACCACCCTGCCCAAGCCGGCTGGTTGGGGGAGGGCCGGGCACTGGGGGTGGGTAGAGAAGGCGCCAGCCTCAAAGCTGGCTGGAGGGCCGACTGGCATGTGGGGGCTGGGTGGGCCTGGTAAGCTCTGCCCGCGGAAGATGACCGAATTGGGAATGCACGTGCCCTGGTTGTAAAGTGAGCCCCACTACCCCCACACCTGTGGTGGCTTCGGCCTGGAAACTGCCCCTCGGGTTATTCTTAGCCGTCTGGGAAGAAAGACCCGCCGCAGCCACAACTCCATCCCCGGACTCTTACGTAAGAAGGGTGGCTGGGCATGCTGGGTGCACGTGGACGCGCGATGCTCCCGCCGTGGCCCCTGCAGCTGCCTAATGCTGGGGGGAGGGGAGCATGGTGCCTTTTGCCACCCTCTCGGGCTGAGTCTTTCCTAATCTTTCCTGTAACAGCTGCTGCCTGGGATGGAGAGTGGCCCACCATGGGGTCGATAGGTTTTTGAGAGGTCAGAACGTGGCAATGGGGAGAAGTAGCCAACAGCCTGACTTTTGTTCAAGTCCACTACTAGGAGATGCTGCAGAGCCCGGGCCATGTGGCCTTTTGGCTGCCAAGAGGCCGAGATAGGGTGACGGTAGTTAGGCCTGGTATTGGGCGTCTTTCATCGTTTAACAGAAAAGTGAGGAAGTGCCCAAGGTTTTTGTTTTGTTTTTTTAAGAGGAGTGAATGTTCCTTTCAAAAGATCGTTCTTAAAGCACGGGGTCATTTAATGACATCTAAACTAAAAATTCAGTTTGGGACTTAAGGAGCCACAGCCAGTTTTCTTGGGGTGTTTTTGTTTTGTTGATGGTTTTGTGCGCTTGTTTTTAAATATCTCACTCCCTTGCCATATCCCTCATTCCCATCTTCTCTGACAGTCCTGCAGATTATGTTAAATACAGATTATTTTGTTCAACAAGACTCAAGCTTCTAATTTTACATCCCTTTTCTCTAAAACCTTTAAGGAGTGCTTTCAGTGTGTAGTTTTTCTGCAGGACAAAAAGGGCCAAAAGCAGTGAGTAGCCCATGATAAAGGGATTTTTGTGCTTGTTTTCACCTAGATTTTTACTGTGGCAGGCCACCTTCTTATGAAGAGTTATGTCTTTTGAATGAAAAGCTGAGCTGGTGCCTGTAGACAACAGGACAGAAGTCACCTTGAGATAAAACCCACCCAGGGACCCGGGGGACCCACCAAAGACTTGTTAGCTCTAGATCATAGACCATGTTTTCTTATTTGTCAAACTGGGATAATGCTACCTGCTCAACATACCTATCAGGGTCACTGAGAGAATCAATAGAAAGAGAAATGTAGAGGGGAAAATAAGTGTTATATAAACGTGAAGCATTAAAATAAAATAAGCTCACCCATTCTCTTTGCACATTTAGTTTTAGAACTGTCTCCTGCCTGTTTTCATATCAGTAAAATGGGGCTTCTCCCATGAGCTGTGCCAAGGATTTTGGTTAAGGTTAAATAATATAATGGATGTAAAAATCATTATATGAATTGTAAAGCACTTTACAAAGATTAATGGTACTTAGTATAGGCTCTCATCATAGCTTAAACGTGTTTATATGAAAAGTCAGAAACCTTAAAAATGTGGAAATGGGCTATGATAAGCCACAGACCTTTTCCTCAAAGGCTTAGGCAGCAGAAGTGTACAAAAGAGACTGGTTTTATACCCTTACGTCCACTGAGATGAGAAGAGCATTTTAAGAGGAAAAATAAATCCAATGTCCAGTAGCTGATCCTTTCATAAATTAAAACCTATTCTCCCCATCCCAGACCCTCTTGAGAGTTTAAATTGTGTGTGCCAGGATGAAAACTGGGACTATTTCAGACTTAAGTTTTATTAAGTACTGGAACAAAGGGATCCCAGCCAAAAATAAATAAATAAAAAGCTCAGCTTGGGAGAAAGCCCCTAACTCCTTCCTTTTCGCCCCCATCCCTCCTCTGATGTGTTTCCTTCCTGCCTTCTGGTCTCCAGGTCACCTTTCATTCCCGGTTTCTCGGTTTCTGGACTCTGGCCCCTGTTCTTGCACATTTCTTAAACACTATCAGAGAAAGATGGCTCATGCACCTGCCTGCAAAACTTCCCAAACCGGGCCTCCCAGCTCCCCCGGGCCCGCGCAACAACTCACACCCACCGGGGTAACTCCAGAACGAAAAAGGTCCCCGGGCCAGAGCTCCGGGCCCTTAGAATCACCCCACCACCGCCCCTCTGCCTTCAGCCAATCGTCAGCCGACAGAGAATATTATGCAAATGACCTTCTTGCCCCAGCCAGTCAGGAGCCACTCCCCTCCTCCCGCGACAGCGTCCTCTTTCACCCTAACCGCGCCTAGCTGGCGGCCGCGTCCCTGGCAACCGGCGCGCGGCCAATTTTCCCCCAAGCTCTGCTGGAAAAAAATAAAAGCGGTTCCCTGGGGTCACGCGAGAGTGGAGCAGGCGGGCCTGGCTCAGTGGCCGCCGCGCTAGCTGCTCCAGGCACCTTCCCTATCGCTTATTGACCGAGCGGGACGTACTGAACAATTTGCTTGGGCCTCATTTTGCCCCCGGGAAACAGCAAGTCATCCGTTGAGCCAAATACTTTGAAGGCAGCGGACGTTTGGTCCCTACTTTCTACCAACACACTAAATTCCTGTTAAAAACTTCCCTTGTCTGGGATTGCGCGCCCACCCCACTTCGTGGTACACAACTCCAAATCTGCAACACATAACTTCTGGTTCTTAGAAATTCCTGCTTTGCTTTCTTCAGTAACCAAGAAATCATGTGTTTCTGGCCCATCTATCAAAAAATTCCCAGATTACCCCTTCTTCGGGAGCTCTGGTAGTGTAGTGCCTAAGGCACTTGACTGCTAACCAGAAGGCTGGCGGTTCAAACCCATCAGCCCACTCCTCGGAAGGAAGGTTGGGCAGTCTACTTCTGTAGTGATCCTGCCTCAGACACCCAAGGAGGGGTTGCTATGAGTTGGGTCCTACTCAACTGCACATAACAACAACTACAACTGTGTCCCTTAGATAGTTTGGGAAAAGATGGCATGTTAAAGTATGACTAGAAAGTTCTAAACAAAGTAAAGAGCAAGAGTAAACTGCTGGGAGAAGGCAGATGGGAGATATAAAATGTTTGGCCTAGACCAGGATGGATAGTGGTATAATTTGAAGGCTAGAAACCAGCCCAACCCAAGAAAGTGGCTATCTAGATTATTTTAAGACAGAATTTAGGAGAAATTCTTTCACAGAAATTGTCTTAGACAAGCAGACTATCGTGTGTTAAAGGCCTAGTTGTCCAACCAATCACTTGTGCTGAAATCACTCACAACATCCCCACCAAGTGGTAGTCCTAACTCAAATTCTTGTTATTCCCACCCTCCAATATTAGTTTTGCCCCCTTGGAATGCTCCAGAAGGCCACTCTGGATGTTTGAAGGTAGATAGGTCTCCCTTGGATCCAGTATTCTTCAAACCAGTTATCCCAAGTTGCTGTAGCAACTCTTTATATTTTGAGTTGCTCATCCATCTTGGTCACCACCTTTGGAAGTAGCTCTAGTTTCTTATTCATTCCAAGTACCATCTTGTCTAGGGCAGAATGAAGTGCCATGGACGCCTATTTTATTATAAATGGTAACTTCTAGGTCATATTTAGGAGCTCTGGTAGCGTAGTGCCTAAGACACTTGACTGCTAACCAGAAGCCTGGAGGTTCAAACCCACCAGCCACACCTCGGAAAGAAGGTTGGGCAATCTACTTCCGTAGAGATACTGCCTCGGAAACCCAAGGAGGGGTTGCAATGAGTCGGGCCGACTCGACGTCACATAGCAACAACAACAACAGGTCGTATTTATTGAGCACCTGTGCTCGAAACTTAAAATTTTTATCTCATTTCACTGTCACAACAAATTTAAAAAGAAAGTAAGGATCAGAGAGTTTAAGTGACCAATGTAGCAGAACAAGGATTTGACCCAATTTTCTGAAGCCAGATCCATGTTCTTTCTAATTAACACCCTGACAAATGTCTGCTCTTTATAATGCTGCTTAACATTTAATGGACTCCTTTTAATAGCTACAACCATATACTGCTGATGAACACTATCGTTTGTTTGTTTCTGAGTTGTTGTTGTTGTTGTTATGTGCCGTCGAGTCGGCCCCGACTCATAGCGACCCCTCCTTGGGTTTCCGAGGCAGTATCACTATGG